GAAAAGAGGCTTTAAGAGTGTCATTCCGTCCACCACTGACTTCATTTGGTGTTTTCTGTATCTTCTGTGAGATGCTGATTCCTTTGTTCTCATCCTTTTGGGGTGCATTTTCAAGGTGATCATAATTCTTGCCTCTACGGTTTTCTCGATCAGAAATTTTACCTGGTCCGTCTAATTCTTCGTTGCTGTCCCACTTGTCACTGTCTTCTCTAAATGATGGAATATCAGGGCTTACAACTCCATCTGCTGCGTCGCAAGGAAATTCTCGCCAGCTTCGGTCACGGCGCGACTTCAACTGAGGAACCTCTTGAAAGTCTTCGCACAACAATAATCTTGCAAGAGCGATGTTACATTGCAACAAATCCGGGTGATCTAAACCGTAGCCAAAACTTGTCAAAATATTTAATGCTTCTTCAAAGCAATTTTTTGATGACAGGTTTCTTTCCATCAGAAAAAATCTAACACCTTGCCTACAGAGAAACGATGCATATGTTGGGTGGTTTTTCCCTAACGTTTCTTTGCAAATTGGTACAAAAACGTCGAGGAAAGATGCAAAGTCTAAGTTTTTTTCGTTTAAGTGAAAATCAACTAAATTCAATATCGTTGCGAACAAGAAGTCCCATTGGCATTTTCCATTACATCCGAGGACAGCTTCAAAATCGGTAAAGAAAAACGAAAATGAAGACATTAGTGACGAAGCAGATGATGAAGATGACGATGTTGATGACGGAGATGATGATGACGATGATGAAACTGATGACGATGATGAAACTGATGACGACGACGATGATGATGACGACTCTGACCCTGACCCCGATGCTGTCGAAAACGATTTTAACGAAGGCGAGAGTGGTGATGATAGCGATTCAGGCGAAAGGGAAGGGGAAGTCAAGCGCTCCGCTATTTCCTCTGCGCGAGCCACATCTCCAATCTTTTGATACGCCAAACAAATTTTTGAAGATATAAATTTCGAGAATATTGCTTCTTCGTTGTTCATCCTCTCAAATAGTGAATCCAACGTCCTCAGCTCCATGAGTGCTTTTACAGGTTCTTTGAGCTCTATGAACAACTCTGCTCTATTGTAATGTATGGCAGCTACCAAATGTGGGGGAAGAATGGGGTATTTGGCCTTTAGAATAAGACGCTCTTGCAACTTCACTGCAGCAGTGTAGTTCTTCTGACACTGGTAAGCTAAGCTTAAGTTGGTTTGTATAGCAACAATGTTTATTTCTGGAGAGTCAGTTTTGTTTTTGTTTTTAAATGTTTCAAAAATCTCCAGCGCGCATTCTAGATAATCGCTAGCCTTGTCCATAACTCCCATAATCAGATAAACGTAGCCTACATTTGCCTTGGCTACTGCTCTTAAAATATCCATAACTTGCTCGTTGTCTTTAGGACATGGCGTGGCATCAAATGTGTGAAGAGAATCACATCGCTGAAATAAGTCTATAGCTATTTTATATTTATGCAGCTTGAGTGCAACAGCAGCAAAAACAATAGTAAAGCTGACATAGAAATGGTCATCCTTATCTGCGATCAGCTTGGGGTTTAACAAAACAGCACCAAAGAAAGGAGGAGCGGAGCAATAACTCAAACACATCTCTCTACCTCGATCCACCAGCTCCTTTTCGTAATCAGTCGGGTTTCCGAGGCTATCTGGGGTTAGATTCAGGAAGTGCTTAAGCCCAGCTTGTAAAGACTCTATGGCCGCTTCCACTTTGCATTGCTGGAACTGATCCATCGTTTCTTGAAATTGTTCGAATGTACTGCGTCTGGCCGACTGATTATCATCACATTCCAATTCATCCTCAAGATGGGATTCTGAAACAGCGTTTTTCGGGATCTTGGAGTCTGTTGCGTCCATCTTTCCATGTCAAATGTACTTCTCCTGAAAACAAGGTAAATCTTAAAACCAAAATTCATCCACATTAACTGTGAACAAATTTTTGGTAACAA